CAGCCCCCTTAGGCAGGTCCTTCCATCTTCACCCCATTCCAGATAAGGCAATGGAAGCCGAGGGAGGAAAGAGGCCCTCGTTACATGGCTAGTCAGTCAGTTATGGGGCCAGAATGTGACCCTGGGGACCTCTTGCACACTCGTTACATCCTCTGTGCCTGCATCTTCTCCAAAGTGGAACAGGAGTAACAAAGGTTATTTGTTGAACTGGAATTATTTAAAGAATTGAATGAGTTAAATATATACCGATAATATAACATGAAGCATTATAGCAACTCTTGTTAACATTAAGATTCTTCACTGTTCTATTTTCTCGTCATTTTTCCAGCTATTGTTTCTCTGAACACATGATCCCCAAAAGTAAACACACTGTTTCAGGTCTCATCCCGAACCTCTAAAACTAGTTGTTCAGAAAACTTGTCTTTCATTAACACAACTTAAAATGTGGAGCCACTTTTAGCGATCAGAGCCCAGAGAGCTGGCTCATTCTGAGCTTGTGGTTGACTTTTTAAAAGCTTTTTTTCCCCCTTTTTCCTTTTTTTCTTGCATTGTCATTGTTTTGGATTGTCATTGTTGGGTTTAGTAGGCAAGTAAACCATTGCATGATTGAGTGATTAAATCAGTGAACTAAGGAAGGCATGGTATGCTGTCAATGAATACTGGAATGGTTGGGGAAATGATCTAAAGTCATTTTTCACAGAAAGCTTTAAAAAGAATTATCCCCATATCACACAAATCCTTTAAACAAAGCCTCTGATTGAGAATGGTAGTAATAATTTCTTAGATTTATGTGGCATTTTATAATCCTCAAAGTATTTTTCTATATATTATGCCCTAGAACCATAGATCCTGTAAGTTTGAAAGAACCACAATATGCATCTAACTGTTATTCCATTCAAAATCCTGATGAATAGGGCCTTTAGCCTTTGCTTGCATACCCCCAGAGACAAGGAACTCACTACCCCATGACTCAGTCAGCCCAGTGCCAGACAGCTCAAACACTTGGAAAGGTCTGTCCTGGCCACGGACAGGGATGTTGGTCCCTTGTCACCGTCCCTTCACTGGGACCCACCAGTAAAAATCTACAGCATTTTCTGTGAGATGGTCCTTGGGAAAGAAATGTGTTCTCGAAGATCTTCTTTCCCTTCACATCAAACCCAACATTTCCTTTCATCCCCTTTCTCAACATTTGTCACCAACGTTGTCACCAATGTTGTCATTACAGCCAACATTTTGATAACAGCTACCATTTTTGAGCACTTACTGAATGCCAGGTACTGCATCATGCAGAATTATGCCCAAGAGCAAAGACTCTCAATCTGGAGAGACTAGAGTTGTAATCCCAGCTTCAGAACTCATTGGTGGTATGAACTTGAGCAAGTTGTGAAACCTCATTAACTCCCAGGTTCCTCGTGTGTAAATGAGGGAAACAACAGTATCAATCTCATAGAGTATTAGAACAATTAAATGGAATGATGCATGTCCTACACCTAGACTGTGCCTAGCATACAGAAAGTCTTTGATGATGGTGGCCATTATTTTCACTGTGCAGGACACAGGCATGTGTAAGCTCATTCAGCACCTAGAAAAACCCTCAGAGAATATTATCCCAGTTTCACAGATGATGGCTTTGATTTAACCAAGGTCATAAAAAGCTAGCAACAGAGATACCGTTCATCCTTGGAGCTGACTTCCAAATCATAACCCCCCGCCCGTTGACCTACTCATAGATTCCACATAAGGAGGGAGTCTGTACATCATTTGCACATAAGATCTTAAAATTTAAGCCATCAGCTGATGCAGAGAGAAGAGAAATGGTGGTCTGTATTTGTACTGTAAGGGTGGAGGTTCTGGAATCCGCCTATATAGAGTTAAATACTGGGTTTACCATTTATTCTTGGGGTGACCAAGTCACACCAATAGCAACTGATTTTATTAATATCTCAGGCTCAGGAATTAACAAGCCCAAAGAGCATGCTGGTTTCACTCCAGTAGGCATGGATTATAGCAGTTTCCAATGACTGAGCTGAGAAGCTGGTTGCCCTGCATGGGTAAGCAGGAGGTTTGTCCTGAGAAAAGAGAATGCAGAACATTGACCCTGACATTTCTTTGACCTCTGACTAGACAATTTGGGTCTTCTCACAAAAGATTTCAGATCTTCACCAAAGATGAAAACAATGCAAAAATCTGAGAGACCAGGAGCCACCTTGCCCTGAGTAACCATGGGACATGAGTTTAGAATCTTAGGAAAAGCCTGGTCCCAGAGCTGCCTTCTTGTTAGCCACACAGCTTTAGGCAGGTAACTCAAATAAACTCACTGTGTCTCAAGTTTCTCACCTGTGAAATGGGGAAACAGATCCCAGCCACTGTGAATGCCACTTTGAATGGCTGCTTAGGGGAGAAGGAAGCAAACACTCTTTTTGTTCCTGCTGAATTAATTGTCTGTGGCCAGATCAGCAAGGATGGAGTCCATCTAAGCCACAGACAGGCATGCCCTCTAGGCAAAGCCATGCTGATGGGTTGGGGCATCCAAGACAATTTGTAGTCTATATCTGGACCCCAGTTCATCCATTTATGAGATGAAAGGGTATAATAAACACATCTTAAAGTTTTCAACTCAAGTGCCTGTAAGAATAAGAGCTAACGGTCTTGCACGCCAAGCTCCTCTGATGCAGGTATGTGGTGTACCTACCCAGTAAGTATTAGAGGCACCCTCATTTATAGATGACAAAAACAAGGCACAGAGGCATTTAAAACTTTGCCCCAGATCATGCAGAGTGCTAAGGGGCACTGTGGGACCTTACATCCAAGCACCCAGGCTCTGGAGTCTGCGCTTATTCACCTCCGTGTCACCCTCCTTCTGCATGGGGGCAGGTGTGTCCCACCTCAGAGAAGCCGGGCCACCATCAATGAATGCCTTAGGGTTCAAAGATTCCTGGACATGACTCTGTCTCTTGAGGGTAAGGTGAGGACAAGTAAGATCCAGATCTTGGAGCCCTGAAGGCAGAAAAGAACTGTAGGGACCACAAGGTGGTAGCCTTGGGCCACATTAGTGCAGGGGCAGAGAAGATCAGGATGGTGCCAGCCACATCTCGAATTACAGGGAATTTCAGATTCGTGTGCATCTGAGTGACTTCTTCCTTCTAAGCAGAACTCACGGAGCAGAATAAGAAGGTGAAGAACACCTAAAGTCCTTGGGGAGAGAGTGTGATGTAGTGGAAGTAAGAGTGAACCTGGAAGCAGAGAAAGCCCATTCAGGGCTCATTTATAATTGGGATTATACCGTCTAGGTTACTGGGTTATGGGAAGCATGTATATAAGTAAACGTGGTGCCAAACACAGGAAACGCTTAATAAATATTAGTCAAAACGGAGTCTCTCAAGCATTAAATAAGAAAGTCACGCCCCCTCAAGCCTTCTTAGCATCAGATGGTGCCCCATGCCCCATGAGGATGCTAGCAAGGCCCCTGAGATAGTAATGCTCACACACTGGCACCCCAAAGTTAGCATGCAGGCACTCACTTGGCTTGGCATGTGGCTGCATCATTTGCAAAATATATATATGGGAAAAGTCTATCACACTCCATCCATGAATAACACAAAGGCCTTGATTTGTTCCACCACGTGATGAGCATGCGTTAGGTCCAAAATTAACATTGCTATCTGGCTGGGCTATGTGTGTGTTTTTCCAAAAAGAGAAAACTTCCAGGCTCTTACTCAGCCCTAATCAGAATGTCAAATGCAGTGTTAGAGGAACGAGAAGAACCGAGACCAAAAGCAAAACTCTGCCCCACTGTAGACTCTCAATAAATACTGTTGGCTGTTGAAAAGGAAAAGCAAGGAGTGGGCGGTCTCGCTACCAAGCTGAGTGGCCTTAGGCCAATTTCTTCACCTCTCTGGGCCCATACCTTTCTCACACATAGATTCATTTCCTACCCTCATGCATCTGGCAGAGATAGCTGTGCTAAAAGAGAAAATAATGACTTGAGGAGTGAAAAGCACTAGGGGGATGTCACTCGTAGCTATTATCAGATCTCTTCTTGAGCCAATTAGACCCTGTACATTCTGCATAATGAATTTGTTTTTTCCTATCTACCATGCAGAGCCATTAATTCCAGCTTTTTAAAGAAACCATTAATATGAGCCTACGTGCATTTCAGACTACCATTCAAGTGATTTAAGCCCTAGCAGCCTTCTCTGAAGACATAGCAGACTCCAAGAGCTCTGGGTCATGGGGCCTGCAGAGATGGAAAGCCACTGCCCCTCTCTCTGGGCCCACAACTTCATCTCTCACGTGGAGGTGACATGCCTGACTTCAAGCTTCCTTGGCGAAAATGCAATCAGATAATGTCCACAAATGTGCCCAGCACAGTGCTTGACATATGGTTAGATGGTCCATAAATTCTTGCACTGAGAGAAAGAGTGAAGAGGACATAGTTCAGGCTTTGCAGCCAGACACGCTTGGGGGTTCCAATACCCAAGAGCAGCTCCATCTCTTACGAGCTGTGTGACCTTGGATAAGTGTCTTGGCCCCTCTGACTCGGTATTCACAACTATAACATGAGGGTAGTGAAGGGGTTTCCATGTGTGATGGGGCCATACCTAGCCCCGCCCCAAGGGCCATCATGCAGGGTCTACACGCCAGGGGGTCTTGTGAGGGTCCAAGCACGTGACAGATGTTAAACATCCGCCCCCCCCCGCGGAACAGGCCAAGCACGTGACAGATGTTAAACAGCTATTCCCAGAGAGGTCAGCCCAAAGGCCAAGGAGTTGGGAGACTCTTTCCTCTCTCCTCTGAAGCACGATTAGTTTGTCACAGCTGACAGATGATGGATGGCTATGCATCAGTCCAAGTGACACCCCCAAATCCACCTGCCCTTCTGTTGAGCATTCCAACCTCTCACACTCAGCCAGTGCTGGCAAAACCCCGCCCCATTCCCTCATCGCCCCACCTCACCGTCACCCCGCCCCCAGCACCTCGCGGCATTCCCGCTCACTTACCATCACAGAGATGTGGAGAATGTGCATCTGCTCCTCTCTAATCTCTGAGGGCTCCTGGAGCGTGGGCGCGGTGGCCCGGGCCAGCTGGCCGGCACTGCTCATGGAGACGTGGAAATACAAGGTCCCGTTCTCCAGCCACTGCTGTCTCCAGTACACCAGGGAGATGTCCCCTGCCGTGCCAGACATCTCTGCAAGACAAGACCCAAGGCGCTGGGTGAGCGGCATGCCCGGCCTCGGGATTCCAGGGACGGAAGGAGCCACACGTGTTCAGGAGCTCCACGGCACCTACTCTGTTACCAGGATGCCTTTCCCTACATCAAATCTATGAGGCAGAGACCATCACTTCCCCTGTGACCAAGAATCTCCCCAAGCAACAGGGCGGCAGAGGTGGAATCTGAACCCAGGTCGGTCTGGGGCTCTGTTGTAAAGCGCCGTGTGTGATAAAGTCATTTGTTCCTCTAAACCAAACTAAGGGGAATCAAACAGACAAGAGACCCAAGTGCTTACATTCTCCTGAGGGCATGGAACTAGAAGAAGGTGAAGGGAGGACATCTCCATCCTTGAGAAGAGCAGGGGTTTAGAGTGTGAATTCTTTACAAGCTGAGCTGGAAGTGCTCACAGCGTAACTGCAGAACCTCAGAGCTGGAAAAGCCCAAGAGAACATTTGGCCCCAGCCTAGGTGCCTCAGGATTATCCTTTATAGGAACAGAGCTTGGCAACTGGGCTGATCTGAGCCTGTTTCTCCTGCTTCGGTCGGAGCAGCTCCATTTTTTTTTTTGCTAGTATATATACTGCACAACCAGCAAGGGAATGTCGGCACGTAAGTTTCCGTGGCTTAAAAATATTTGGTAAGCCACTGCCCCACTCCAGTGTTCTCATATGACCAAGGGCAACTTAGGACCTACTAGCAAGTTACAGTTACCTGGTATGTATGTATGTATGTATGTATGTATGTATGTATGTATATATTTAAAATATTTTATTTTTTTATTTATTTGAGAGACAGAGAGAGAGAACGAGCAGTGGGGAGGGACAGAGGGAGAGGGAGAAGCTGACTGAGTGTGGAGCCCAACGTGGTTCTCAATCCCAGGACCCTGAGATCATGACCTGAGGTGAAGGCAGATGCTTAACCGACTGAGCCACCCAGGTGCCCCCAGTCACCTGATCTTTAAATTATTCTTCTAATAGTACTTCCTTCCAATATAGCCATACCAACATAGCCTCTTACTGAGTAAGGACAAGAGCATTGGCAACCAGAAGTGTCCCCGCACTAAGATCACACAATCTTCTCATACTGCTGCCTCCTAGAGAGATTACATCCTTGGAAATGTCCTAGAAGGACAAGGCCTATCACAGTGGCTTTATGAAGAAAGGGGAAGGGTGGTAGGGGGAAAGGGAAAGGGATAATTCCTGGAGAATTATCAAGACTTCATTCAAGCAGGAGTTACCATAGAGACAGAGGCACTCCATCATAGACAAGTAGCCATAATAATGTCTGAGACTTGGAAACTCTGGACTATCTTCCCAAGACACAAAGCTGACCTAGAGGGTATTCCCACAATTACCACAGACCTCATATCCATGTGTGCGTGTATACACACACACACACACACGCTTGAGGAGGACTGACGGGGAGGCTGAGTTAGAACTTCTTACGCCAACAGCTCTCCCTGTGCCCCACTCTGCAGTCCCTGGCAACCCTGAAGGAAGAAAAGTCACCTTGAAGAGATGATGTTTGCTCACCAAAGTCTACTGAATTATTCTTGTATCATCCACCCCCATAGACTCACTCCTTGAGGCTCACAATCAACAGTCCTTAGGGAAGAGTATCTGGCATTTAGTAAGTGCTATAAAAGGTTAGCTATTAATATTTATTATCATTATTATTATTAACAGGGACAGGATCTAATTCACCCTTGAGCTGCTGTGGAAAAATCCTTGAGACACCCTTGACTGTTTGCTTTCTCTCCCACCCCTCCTCCTGTCCACTAGGAAACCTTTCAAAAGCCACCTCGGAGTTATCCCTTCTTGGCTCCTCTCCTGCAACCACCTGGGCCAACGCACCACCCTCTCTTGCCTGACTGACCACATGCACTTCCTAACTGGACTCTCCTCTTGCTCTTTCCCTTGCTCTTCTGTCTATTCTCACCCAGAAGCCAGAGGACTCCTGCCACAGCCTGTTCACTCCCATCACTCCTGGGCTCAAAACCCTCAGCAGCTTCTGCCTCATTCCAAGGAAAAGACAAGGTGGCCAGAATGTAGCAAGTTGTGAGTCCAAGTGAATACCTGCCTGGGCTTCCCTTGCTGTGCCAAGAGGTGAGAAGGGATGGAGATAAGCACAAGATTTCATCAGCTCTTAGTCCATGGGCCCCAAAGGACCCCAAGAGCTCACTGTGGGGCACCGGGGGCAGGGGAGACAGGCTGGGTGCCCAGCGTGCGAAGCGGGCCTCTCCCCAGCACCTTCTCTCCCCCCACCGCCCCACCTCCTGGCCTCAGCACCCGAAGTACTGGTAGCAGCTTCTCTGGCAGCCAGCCAGGCAGCTAGGCCAAGGCAAGGTGAAGACATTATGGTAAATGGCCGTGCTCAGTCCCTCACTCATGTTTCTCTCCCTGCATCAGAGCCCAGAACCAGAGGCCCAGAGAGCCCAGGGCTACAGTTGCCCGTGGAAATAGCTGCCTCTCGTGCAGTAGCTCACGAAAGGGGACTCACGCGCCAGTGGTGGGGCAGGCCCTGGCCGTGCCACATCTGGCTGCCACAGCCTGGGATCGAGGAGGCAGAGTAAGCGAAGGAAGGCTTGCTGAAATCTGTGCTCTTCACTCCTGCAGCTCTCCGCAGGCTGTGCTCGAAAACCCACCACCGAGAAGCCCATCCTCCCCACACTCAGATTAGGAAACAGAGGATCACCGAGGGGCAGTCCCTCGCTTCAGGCCACAGGTGAATGTATGTCCAGCCAGACCCAGTGGATTTCCAGTCCACACAATTGCTTCTACGCCGGTAGCTCTTACAACATCTCCTTTTCCTTGACTAAATTAGCCCCTGAACCCAAACTAGATTGAGCTCTTTGTTTGCTACAGCGATGAGTGCACATGAGCAGACAGTAAACGTTAAATGATAATAACAGTGTGTGAAACACAGTAAATATTGAATCACAGAGATCAGCTCTGGACTCACTCTATTACAAAGGAAGGAAACTGTTGCTGAGGTGGGAAGGAGGGCCATGGGGCTCGGAGAGAAAACCGCCCTGGCAGAAGTAGAAGGCCCAAACACTCATCCCCTCGTTCATGCATCCCCTCATTCATGCATCCCCTCATTCATTCATTCATCCCCTCGTTCATTCATTTCCTCACTCATCCCCTCATCCATTCACCATGCATTCATTCGCCATTCATTCATTCATCCCCTCATTCATTCACCATTCATTCATTCCCACATTCATTCATTCATCCTCTCATTCATCCCCTCATTCATTCATTCCCTCATTCATTCACTCATGTGTGTGTTTGTTCACTCATCCAACACACTTTATTGAGGACCTACTCGATTGTGGGCACTTTAGTAGCTCAGAACATGGAGGGAAATGAGGCACACCCTTGCCTTCAGGAAACTCAGTCCTTTAGTGGAAGACATTCTACCCACTCCCCAGCTGGCACCACACTGCCCACACATGCACATACTGCCCGTGTGATGTGGCCCCGACACTGCAATTATCCTGACCCACCTGCTACCACCATCCCCTCCTCACGTGCTCCAGCCCTGCAGGACTTACACTTGTTCCTGAAACAGACCAGGCTCACTGCCATCTCAGGGCATGAGGACTGTCTGTCCTGTCTGAAACTCTCCTCCCAGACCTTGCAAGCCACCTTCTTCTCGGCATTGGCCTCTCAGTCCAAGTGACACCTGCTCAGAGAGGCTCTGCCAGGTTTAGCTGACGTTTTCCCCTTTACACACATCTACACTCTATGGTATCCCCTTTACAAAACCTTGTTATAGCATTTATCACTATTAGAAATGAATCATATGTATTTTCTGAAACACGTGTTTAATGCCTGTCTCTCCAGGAGAGCAGAAACCTTGCTTATTTCCTGCCATATCTCAAGTACTCTTTAAAGTGCTTTGCACATAATATGTGCTCAGCAAAAATTACTGAATGGCCAGTGATGAATACACACACACACACACGCACCCATAATAAGATTATGGAGGTATTCATTACAGAATTAAAGAAAGAATAAGTAAAGGTCCATTGGGAATTTGAAGGTGTGGCAGGACTCTCCTAGCTTAGAGACAAAGAGCTACTCTAAAAACATGGTACCATGAGCACTGCAGAGAATGGGCATATTGGTGGCCCTCAGAGGAGAGGAGGCATAGGGACGGCCCGGGCGGTTGGGTATCTCAGGACACTGAAGCCACACGTGTAAGGAGGAGTGTGGTGGAACATCAGTTGGAAATATACTTCAGACACAGGGTTAAGGGCTTTGAATCCCTGGCGACAGTATATCCTCTTTGGCATGCAGTCGGGGAACAGCGAAGTACACTTGATCAGAGAGCCAATCCTGTGTCCATTAAAAACAGGTCAAAGAAATACTAGCATAACCAAGGCCAGCTCTTGAAATTCCCCACTGATTGATTTTCCAATTGCATTTTCCCCTTCCTCTTCCCCTAGTCCCTCCATATAAACATTTCATTGAAGTCTTCAAGTCACATTACAATCAAACTTAAAGCAAAAGGGGGACTAAACGCATTTGGTCAGGAAACAAGACATTCCCATAAAGGCAGATTATGCTGACATAATGAATATAAAATGAAACAGCAGATATTAAAGTGGGAGAATTGGTGCACCATGCCTTCTGGCGGAAGGCTGACTCCAGTGCCTGCCTCCCTCCCACCTCAGATAGCTTGGTTTTATATTGGAATCGTAAAAGAAACACAGGGATTGCCTTTTCACCTTTCTCTGTTCTCCCCCCATGGGCTGCCACTTGTGAAATATTCAATAGGCTCAAATCCCCTCAACCGCCCCACTAAAGCCAAGCAAGAGGATCAACCTTCATCAGTGATTCTGGGTAGACCACCATCCTGCCTCGGCAGCCACAGATGTCTTTCAGCCTCCTGGAAAATAAATAAAAATTCCCGAAGGTGTGTTGCGCTTTTAATTGGCTTGTTCTTCCTAATCTATGGCACTCATTGTAT